AGACAGATGTCAGACCTCTCCCAATTAGAGCCCATCAGAAAGCCATCACACAGTAATTAAAACACAAACAAACTGACCCAAATGTCCTCCTGAGGACAGTTGCCAGTACCATAGTGTGTCCTGCCATGGGGGACGACAAGACTGGGTTTATAAGCTTTGCAGGCTCCCTAATCCATCCTCTTATGTGCACACTGTTTTATGGGGCACTTACATCCTCACATTCACCCTGCCCTTTAATATTCTGGCCTCACTTGCTCTCTGCGTACGGGGTAGGTGGGCCTGCCTCGATTTCTCCACCACATAAAGCTTCCTCCGATGTGGGCCTTTGCACCTGCTGTTCTTTCTGCCTCCACACTCTTCTCTCCCCTCTGCACCCTCCCACCTCCTACTCAACATCAAGATCTGGGCTTGAAAGTTCCCTTCATCAGCAGAGCTTCACCAGACCTCCCAGACTAGATGAGGAGCCTTATAACATACTCCAGTTATTTCCAAGCTTCCCCTTCACAGTCTTATCCCAGCTTGTCCCCGAATGTTTGCACTTCTGTTTGATTAAGTCAGTCTCCCGCTTCTGATGTAAACTCCACCACTGAAGCCAGCACCCTGCCTCGTTCATCTCTGGGTGCCCAGCACATAACAGAGAGCTTGGCACAAGCATGACCTCAGTGTGAATGTTTGAATGAAAGACAGTGATGACTTCCTCATTTTATAGGTGAAGGAAGAGACCTCAGACAAAGAAGTTATTCTCAAGGTCACAGCTCCTTAGTGGAAGTGCTGATGCCTGGACCCAGGAGTCTTCCGAACTGGTTCCCACCACTCCTGTGCTGCCTGGGAGGACAGTGTTCTTGCCATTTCTGGGAAAGATCATTTTGAGTCTTGGTATCCCTGCCTGGGGTGAGTGTCCAAGGCGATCACAAGCCCAGTTCCCAGTGGAAACAGAAGCCCCTGGTGGCTGCCACCTCTGAGATACCCATAGCCCAAGTCAGCAGGACTCCAGCAGTGGATGGCCCGGACCCCCTCATTCCAGGATCACTCAGCATCCCTCAAGGCGGGTCCCTGAATGCCCTGCAATTACTCCCACTCTCCCAGGAGCCAGGGGAGTAGGGAAGGGGATAATTAAAGAGGAGGGTGACAAACCCTTCTTTATCACCAAGAATATCTCCACCTCCTGGAGACATTTGTGCACTCTCTCTCCTGATCACAAAGCTACTCACTTCATCACTTAACTCTTTCAGCAATCTGTGAAGTTCTGATCTAAAGCAGGGCGTGGAAGATACTGGAACTAGAGGATGTAAGCTCCAGGAGGGCAGGGGACTTGCTTATGGCCACATCTCCAGTTGTTAGAACAGCACTGGATACATAGGTGGTGCTCAATAGGTATCTGCTACAGGAGGGAACTAAGAGCTTCCTGCATGTAAGGACCTTGGTTGTGGTGGTTTAGTCCTTAAGTCATGTTGGACTCTTGCAACCCCATGCACTGGAGTCTGCCAGGGTCCTCTGTCCATGGTTTCTCCCAGGCAAGAATACTGGAGTGGGATGCCATATCCTTCTCCGGGGGATCTTCCTGACCCAATGATCGAACCCATGTCTCCTGCGTTGGCAGGCAGATTCTTTACCGTTGAACCAGGGAAGTCCTGGGATCTCACTATATGCTATATTATAGTGACTGTTACTACCGCATTTTACAGTCTAGGAAATAGGGGTTTAGAGAGTAAAGAGGTCAAAAACTTACTAAATAGCAGAGCCAGGATTCAAAGCACCAAATGGGCAAATATCAGCATTGGGAATTCAGGCAGAAAGGGAGAGATCTTAATTTCCAGTGATATGAACATGAGAACAATTTCAATACTAGGAAAGGGCTTTACCAGAGAAGGGTGAGATGAATTTGTTGTTCGGTTGCTTAGTCATGTCCAACTCTTTGTAATTCCATAGACTGCAGCATGCCAGGCTTCCCTGTCCTTCACTATCTCCTGGAGTTTGATCAAACTCATGTCCATTGAGTCAGTGATATATCCAACCACCTCATCCTCTGGGGAGAGGAATACCATGCAGCAAACTTTCAAACCAAGTGCAAAGTCTAGATTCTTGGGGCCCATGAAGATACCATGCAGTGTGCTGAGACTCACATGGACTTCCTATCACATAACACGGGTACTGCAGCAGGAACCACTTAGGGACCCAGGCACTGAGGAGCACTGAGGGATCGATGCTCCTGGAAAGGGGGAGCCTAGTCCCTGCAGGGACCTGAGTAGCAGTCAGGGCCTGGGTCTCAGGAGGCAAGATGGGGAGAGCTCTGGGGTGGAAGTCATAAGGCCAGTTCCCCACCTTTGCCCCTGTACCTGTAAGTTCTCATGCAAATCTCTTCTTCTTTCTGGGGCTCACTTTTCCCTTCTATACAATGAGGACTGTTACTTCACTGTCTAGAGTGACTCCTGGGGTCTATTCACCTCTAACACCTGTATGATTGTACATACATATCAGTAGTTGTACGGTCACAGCATCTTGGAGACAGTCCCCTTGCCCAGTCCAACACAGGAAACCCTGTTTCAGCTTTCCTAGCAGATGGTATGAGATTCTGCTGAATAGCTGTAGGCTAGTGGTTCTCAGCCCAGGCTGATTATGCCTCCTGGGGCAACGTCTGAGATATTTTCGGTTGTCACAACAATAAGATGTACATTATGCATTTAGTGGGCAGAGGCCAGGGATGCTACTAAACATCCTGAAATACACAGGGCAGTCTCCACACCAAAGAATGATCTGGCCCCATATGTCAACAGCGCTGAGGTTTAGAAACCAGCTCTAGGCAAAGGGGATTCATTACATCTTGAGGCAACTCCTGGCGTGGGCATGTGTGGCTTGGACGAGCTTGAGAGGAAGCTATGCTCCTCATAATAGCCTTTCTGACCTTCCGTTTGCCTTGCGAAGAAACCAGGAGGAAGGTGTCTCCCCAAGATGACTATTCAACTGCAGATGGCTAGCACAGAAGTTCAGCCAACAGTGATCACCGGTCAAGTGAGTGCACAGGGGTCAATGCCAGGGCTGAGGGGCCGATGTCAGGGGCAAGGCTCTCGGGGGTGGCCAATGGCTCAGTGCAGGCTGGCGGGGACCAGCTGCAAACAGAAGCCTCAGGGCGTGCAGGGAGGGAGGCTAGTGAGCTTGGGTGGGGGCTGGGGACATCTGGGGGCTTTGAAGTGGGCAGTGCCTCTAACTTGGCCTACAATGGTAGGATCCAAGGGAAGGCACAGAGGCAGGGTGGTCCAGGAGGCCCGCGGGTGGAGAGTGGCCCCCTGGGGGTACCAGGGCCCTGAGATCATTCGAGGGCGAACACCGTCCCTGCCAGAAGGCCCAGCCTGGCCTGTCCTGCGGAGAAGGCAATGGCACCCCACTCCAGGACTCTTGCCTGGAGAATCCCAGGGATGGGGGAGCCTGGTGGGCTGCCGTCTATGGGGTTGCACAGAGTTGGACACGACTGAAGCGACTTAGCAGCAGCAGCAGCAGCTTGTCCTGCCTTCATCTCTCACCTCCTGCTGCACCCTGGCTACACTGGCTCCTCTCGGTCTCCCACACTTGCCATTTCTTTACCCACCCCCGCCCCTGCACCCCCCATCGCCAACCAAGAGGCTGGCAGATTCTATGCCCTTAGGTTGGCTAATTCCATCCCTCCCCTCTTTCCCCAGTTAACACACTCCTCCTTGTAACCCTGGCCCCTCATCAGGGACCCTCCCAGGCGCCCCTCCCCACCCCATCATGTGCTCTCACAGTTCACACTCCCTCCGTCCGTACAACTTATCACAGTTGACAGTTATCTGTGTGACTACTGACCATGGTCCACCTGCCCCATGGACATCAGAGCCATGGGTATTGGGTTGGAACTCACTGTGGACTCTTCAGAGTCTGCATCTGGTAGGGATCCGAGAGTTTTTGAATGGATGAAGGAATGGTTGCAGGTTGGCTCTGGCAAGCTGAAGTGCTGAGTTTGTTCAAGGCAGATGGAGTCCTCACTGAGAGTGTCTTAAATACTAGGCTGAAGTGTTTGCACCTAACTAGTGGGCCCAGCGGAGAAGGCAATGGCAACCCACTCTAGTACTCTTGCCTGGAAAATCCCTGGATGGAGGAGCCTGGTAGGCTGCAGTCCATGGGGTCGTGAAGAGTTGGACACGACTGAGCGACTTCACTTTCACTTTTCACTTTCATGCATTGGAGAAGGAAATGGCAATCCACTCCAGTGTTCTTGCCTGGAGAATCCCAGCGACGGGGGAGCCTGGTGGGCTGCCGTGTATGGGGTAGCACAGAGTCAGACAGGACTAAAGCGACTTAGCAGCAGCAGCAGTGGGCTCAGAGGTCTCCCAAAGACCCCTCAACAGGGCTTTGCTGAGAACACTGATGCCTGAGAATGATGGACTGGGCAGAGGATGGAGGACTAGAGCCTAGAGACTAATTAGGAGACTGGAGCAGGAATCCTGGGGCCAGAGGGCTGGACCCTGGGAAGTGGCAGAGGAAAAGCAGCTCTGATTAGTTAGTTTTTTGGCAACTCTTGGTTCCCTCACATTCCTTTTGGTCCTTTCTGAGAGGGGCGACCAGGCAGTGGCCGGGTGTGATGCTCTGAGATGTGGAGGGAGGGGTGGGAGAGGGAGATGGCAGTAGGTGCTGTGATGGTGCAGACAGTCTGCAACCCCGTCATCCTCCTGTTCTCTGACCCCTTGGCCTGAAGGAGCTCAGCCTCCCACCTCGAGGCAGAGCCAGGGGAGTCTGCTCAGAGAGAACTGCCAGGGAAGCGGGCCAGCGGAGCAGCGGGGGGAGGCGCACAGGGACGGAAGGCAGATTACATGTCACTTCGCATTAGCCACACCGGCAACTTTCCTGAACCACCCAGAGAGGGGCGAATTAATCACAGTGTTGAGGACAAGCCAACAGCACAGACAGCCCTGGGACGGAAGGAGGCTCTATCTCCTTTCCAGTCATAAGCGGAGAGGAACGCCTCCCGGAGGATCAGATTTGCTTACCTGTGAGGTACATCTCCTCCCCCTCGGTGAACATCTGGTGGCAGCGCACACATCTGGCGCAGGTGGGGTGGTAGTGCTTCCCTCCCGCCTATGGGAATAAAAGATACAAGAGGAGGTCAGCGCTGTGGCTGCCGTCCAGCGGGGCAGGTCGAGTCTGAACATTTCCTGACTCACTAGTGTCAATGGCATCTTCACGGCCCTGAGGCTGGCTGGGATCTACCCAAGGGAGTCCCCCAGAACAATCTAAACATTTGCCAGAAGCTTGGTGATTCCATACCATGGGCATCTGAAAGCTTTCTGTGGACCTGTCTGGACACCGTCACATCTATTCCAGCAACGAAAGGGCCATTTGGAGGCCTCTGGTCCTACTGCCTTATTTCCTGATGAGAAAACAGTCTTACTGGAAATGCTGACATCCCAGCTTTTCCCTAACAACAGGACCTTACCGCCAGTGGTTCAAGACATGTTTTAAAGGGATCCTCAGGTTTAATAACACTGAATTCATGGGGGAAAAAAAAGAGATTTCCTATTCAATCCTCTATCTATTCTTTTGACTTTGTTTTTCAAGGAGAAAAAAAAAGGAGTTTTCAAGGAGTTTGGTGCAGAGGATAACATCTATCCAAACCTTACTAATCTGCCTTTTAAGGAATGAGAATAGGTAAGAGTCTTGAAGCCGCCACTAGAACACCATTTTTTACACCATGTTACTGGCAGCATGGCTAGTGATCCTGGTTTTCCTGTTATGTTACACAAGTTTTCTTATTTGCAAGAGAGCCAACTTGAAGATAAGATAAAGCATTAGGTAAGAATGATTACATGATGCTCATAGGCATGGCAAAAATGGTGAGAGGGCATGGGATGGACACAATTTTAGGGCTCACTGGACAAATAAGGAGACCCACAAAGCCAGGACCTGTGGGGAAGTCTCAGACCCCCAGGCCAGTCCCAGAACTACTGTGCTTGGGAGCCTCTGCCCCAATCCGGCATTGATGAGCCCCCTCCCCTATTCCCACTTTGTTTCCCTACTCATTGTTTCAGGTAAAAAATGGAAATGATCTGAAGCTGAGAACTCCTTTCTAGGTGGAAGAGAGCGCCTTGGAGAAGGTTGTGACTCAAGGTCCCACTGGAAGCCAGTAGCCGTGTGGGAGCTGCTCCCCGGAGGGCAGACCATCCTGACACTGCAGCCTAACCGAGAGGACCTGACCCATGAGGGCCCTTCCCTGGTGGCTCGAGAACTGCTGTATGGAGGAGCTTCAGGCAGCAATGGGGTTGGAAGGTGGGGCTCCTTTTGAAGGTGTATGTTTCAGGTTAGGGCAAAGTTTTTTGGGGGGATATGTTGTTGTTTAGTCGCTAAGTTGTGTCTGACTCTTTGCGACCCCGTGGACTGCAGCATGCCAGGCCTCTCAGTTCCTCACCATCTTCTGGAGTCACTCAAGTTCATGTCCACTGAGGCAGCGATGCCATCCAACCAACTCGTCCTCCCTTTTGGGGGATATGCTTGGGGCAAATTGATGGATCCTGGGGTATTGTTAAAGGACCCCTCCCCAGCCATCACTTGGTCTGATGCAAATAGGTTCCTTCCAATTCAAAAATTATAGGGACTTCTGGCCATCATTGGTTAAGGCTTCGCCTTCAAATGTAAGGGAGGGTGTGGGTGTGGGTTTGAGTTCCATGCCTGGTCAGAGAGCTAAGATTTCACAGCCAAAAAGCCAAAATATAAGAGCAGAAGCAATACTGTAACAAATTCAATAAAGACTTTAAAAATGGCCCACATCAAAAAAATCTTAAAAATATTGAATTATAATTGCATAATGCTGAAGGCTTATCCCCAAATCTTGTGTGTGTGTTGGGGGCGGGTATTTGGGCATGGGTGTATCTATTTGGGAGATACTTGATTTATTCTAAAAATTAAGCAAGAGTATGAAAAGGCAGGCTTTTTAAAAAAGAAAAACAATCCCAAGTCCCTTTTTTTTTTTTACAGCCTTGGTTGTTTGCATGGCTCCCACTAATGAGAGAATGTCCTTATCTTCACCAGTGTTCAAACTCTGGAAGGACCTGCTATTTTCCCAAGATGTCGTGGGACTGATTCTCCCATACCATGACGGGGATAATCATTTTAATTAGTAGTCTCTTCCTACTTTGTGTCTCTTTATCATTTCAATTATAGATCTGTTTCTAGAATGGCAACAGTGGGTTGGCAAAACTGAAGCTGGCATCTTCCTAAATGTCACACCCCGGCACCCTGCTCTAGCCGAAAGAGGCTCTGTGCACATCTCAGAAACTCTGCCAATGATGGCACAGAAGCCACCTGAGGCAGTGGGAGGGAGGCCACATAGCCGCCAGTGCCAGCACGAGGGGAACCAGTCAGGGGGACAAGATGAGACATTCTGTTAGCAAGCCAAAGTCCAGAACATAGTGTTCAGGACACAGAATCAGTAGCTGGAAAATGGGCCCTCTTGGCGAGGACTGAGAACCACAAGCAATGTGAGGCAGGCAGCATAGGCCCCAGGGCTGAGATTCTCCCCAGCAAGTCACAGACCAGCGAGAAAGGAGTGTGGTTGGCGCTCAGCATGCTGAGTTCTGTCACTGAGGAAGGGACTGTGGGGTGGCCTGGGGTGGGAAGGGGACATGGAATTTAATTAAGTGCCTACTGTATACCCAGAAACATACCGGGGCCCATAGCAGGAGGCTGTTGTTTTGGTCTGGCCAACAGCTTTCCTCCTTCCTCCAGAAACAGCATCAAGCTTTTGGGAATGACTATCCGTTCCCCATGTCAATCCATGTGGTTATTCCAACTCTATGGTCACAGTGATTGGTTTGGAGACGGGCCTGAGGTTCTCCAGTGAGAGCCAGTCCCAGGATGCTTGCTGAGCTATTAGGAAAGAGAAAGCTCTCCTTCCACTGGAAATGCTGACTGACAGGATGGAAGCCTAGAGTGACTGGTGTCTGAGTTTCCCATTATACAGGAGAGAGAATAAAGCCAACCCAGAAGAAAATTGCGCCAAGAGGGCAAGATATTCAAACACATTTGTGTGAGTGCTGGATCCAGCTGTGCCTGAAGCAAGGACTGCTCCTGGGTTTTTCATTATGGGAGTTGATAAATTTCCTTTTTGGTCTGGGGTAGCTGAGTATAGTTTCTGTACTTGCAACCAACGGAGTCCTGACAGGCTATAAAGGAAACAAACAAAATGTGTTTGTGCATTACTCTCAGACTACTACCCCACTCATAATACTTTTGACACCAGATGTGTGCGTTTTTTCCCTCTCCCACACCAAGCAATTCTCTGTGACACCAGCTGAGCGTCCTGTAATTTAATTGATTCTGATACTCCACCTGAACAGTGTCAGACCCCACAGGTTAAGGGCTCAGACCCACAACAATGTCTCCCCCCAAGCCCAATTTAGATAACAGTCAGACCCCACAGGTTAAGGGCTCAGACCTGTCCTCCCCACAACACTGTTTCCCCCCAACCCCAATTTAGATAACAGTCATTAAGTCCCAGGTTGTCACCTATTTCTGACTGACCAGCATTAAACTGGGGTTCCCATGACCCCCAACTAGGGTTTATTAATATGCTGGAATGGCTCACAGAACTCAGGAAACAGTTATGTTTACTGGTTTGTTATAAAATGATAGAGATGAACATTCAGACAGAAGAGGTTCCAGGTATATGGGGAGGGGCACGGGGCATCCATGCCCTCTCACTGTGTACCGCTCTCCCAGAACCTCGGGTGTTTACCCACCTGGACACTTTCTGAACCCTGTACTCATGGGATGTTCACAGAGACTTCCTTGCATTGACAGGATCCATCATTAACTCAAGTTCTAGGCTCTCTCCCCTTCCCAGAGGATGGAAGTCAGGGCTGAAAGTTTCAAGCTTCCAATCATGGCTTGATCTTTCTGGTGACCGGCCTCCATCTAGGAGCCCATGAGTCACCTCATTAGAACAAAAGATGCTCCTATTGCTCAGAAATTTCTGAGGGGTTTAGGAGTTCTATGTTCAGGAAGTGAGGTCAAAAACCAAATGTCAGAACAAAATATGCTCCTAATGTTCTTATCACTTAGGAAATTACAAGGGTTTTAGGAGCTCTGTGCCAGGAACCAGAGGCAGAGACTATTATATATGTTTTCCATGATTTCACACTGGCATATCTACTAGGAGTTAAATAACAGTAGTATTCTCCATTGATAGATAAAGACTCTTAAGACTCAAAGAAAGTAACTTGCCTGGTTTCATGGCTAGAAGAGATAAAACTGGAACTCAAGTCTGTTTAACTCCAACTGTGTATTTTCTTGACATCCCACTGTGTCAGTGGCCCTGGGGAACTGAGAGCTGTGGGCATTGGTGTGGAATACAGGAGGCTGGAGTCCTAGGTATCAGCTCTGTCTTTACCAGAAATATGGCATATGACTTTGGAAAGAACCACGTCTCAGGGTTCACTTTCTCATAAGTAAAACAAGGAGGTTGAACTAGTTGACTGCTAAAAGTATCTTCCAGATCTAAGAAAAAAAAAAATCAATACATCCAAGATGCTAATGGAGCCTCATACAATGGAATCAATGGAAACCCAGTCACAAGAGCTGCCCAAGAAGAGGGGGCTCCAACAATACTAAATGACAGTAACTTGGGGGAAAGACAGGTGCTGACATGATTTCAGAGAAGCCTGGAAATGCTGGGACGAATTCCCATCTGAGGCTCTGGCCCTGCGTGTAACTGAAGTCTCTCCCTTCTGTAAAGAAAAGTCTGCTTTTATGATTTCTCAATGACATATGCCAATGACATATGGATGTGTCTGGTGGTGAAAGTAAAGTTCAATGCTGTAAAGAAAAACATTGCATAGGAACCTGGAATGTTAGATCCATGAATCAAGGTACATTAGAAATGGCCAAACAGGAGGTGGCAAAAGTAAATTGAACATCGACATTTTAGGAATCAGTGAACTAAAATGGACCGGAATGGGCAAATTTAATTCAGATGGCCACTGTATCTACTACTGTGGGCAAGAATCCCTTAAAAGGATTGGAGTAGCCCTCACAGTCAACGGAAGAGTCTGAAACACAGTACTTGGGTGCAATCTCAAAAATGACAGAATGATCTGTTTGTTTCCAAGGCAAACCATTCAATATTACAGTAATCCAAGTCTAGGCTCCAACTACTAATGGCAAAGAAGCCGAAGTTGAACAGTTCTATGACAACCTACAAAACCTTCTAGAACTAACACCAAAAAAAGATGTCCTTTTCATCTTAGGGGACTGGAAGGCAAAAATAGGTAGTTAAGAGATACCTGGAGTAACAGAAAAGTTTGGCCTTGGAGTACAAAATGAAGCAGGGCAAAGGCTAACAGAGTTTTGCTAAGAGAACGCACTGGTCATGTGCAAACATCCTTTGCCAACAACACAAGAGACAACTCTACACATAGACATTACCAGATGGTCAATACCAAAATTAGATTGTTTATATTCTTTGCAGCCAAAGATGGAGATGCTCTATATAGGCAGCAAAAAACAAGACCAGGAGCTGGCTGGCTCAGATCATGAACTCCTTATTGTAAAATTCAGTCTGAAATTGAAGAAGATAGGGAAAACCACTAGGCCATTCAAGTATGACCTGAATCAAATCCCTTATGATTATACAGTGGAACTGACAAATAGATTCAAGGGGCGTGATCTGATAGACTGCCTGAAGAACTATGGATGGAGGTTTGTAACATTGTACAGGAGGCTGTAATCAAAACCAGCCCCAAGAATAAGAAATGCAAAAACGCAAAATGGTTGTCCGAGGAGGCCTTACAAACAGCTGAGAAAGGAAGAGAAATGAAAGGCAAAGGAGAAAAGGAAAGATATACCCATCTGAATACAGAGTTCCAAAGAATAGCAAGCAGAGATAAGAAAGCCTTCCTAAGTGAACAAAGCAAAGAAATAGAGGAAAAGAATAGAATGGGAAAGACTAGAGATCTCTTCAAGAAAATTAGAGATACCAAGGGAACATTTCATGCAAAGATGGGCACAATAAAGTACAGAAACGGTATGGACCTAACAGAAGCAGAAGATATTAAGAAGAGGTGGCAAGAATACACAGAAGAACTATACAAAAAAAGATCTCCATGACTCAGATAACCACGATGGTGTGATCACTCACCTAGAGCCAGACATCCTGGAGTGTGAAGTCAAGTGGGCCTTAGGAAGCATCACTACAGACAAAGCTAGTGGAGGTGATGGAACTCCAGTTGAGCTATTTCAAATCCTAAAAGATGATGCTGTTAAAGATGCTGGGAAAGGTTGAAGGCAGGAGGAGAAGGGGATGACAGAGGATGAGACAGATGATTGGATGGCATCACCGACTCAGTGGACATGAGTTTGAACGAGCTCTGGGAGATGGTGAAGGACAGGGGAGCCTGGCATGCTGCAGTCCATGGGGTTGCAAAGAGTCAGATACGACTGAGAGTCTGAATGACAACAACAACAACATGCCACTGACCCCCACTACTTGTGGGTGCCCCCTGCCCACAATTCTGCAGACCTGACAAGTGGTTCTCCTGAACGTGACCGTGTCCCACACCCCACAGCTTTTTCTCAGCCTGTATATCACTAACTGCTCTTGCAGAATCTGCCCAACACTCTGATTACTTCCCATCTTTTCTGCAGTTCTGTCCTCTCACCACCCCTCCCCAATCTTAGCCAATCCTGCATCCCTTAGCGCGCCTCCTCTTTTTCTGACTTCTCAGTCTCCTTCTGCACTCCTGCAAGCTGCCACTCCCCATGTTATCTTCAGCCCTCTTCTCTAAGAGGGCTGATGACTTTCAGGGTGCTATTATTCAAGTCTTAGCATTTTTGAGACTGTTCCCTGCAGGCCTGAGCTTTGTCCCTGACCTCTGGTCCACATTCTCATTGTCCTCTTGAAATTTTCCTGGAATTTCAACCACGCTCCTTCCCAAAGGGAATTCATGTGTTTCTGCTCAGATCAGTCTTTCCGTGCCATCTGCACTTCTGCGATGGCAACACCAGACTTCCTCTCATCTGGGCTTGACACTTGGGTTCAACCTCTGGCCTCTTCTCCTTCGATGGCTGTGTCTACAAGTGGCCCCATGGTTGCAAAGCTACTGGAATTCAACTTCCACAGTATTGTAGACAGGCTGATTAATCCTGCCACTGTACCTCCCAAGTCCTTTTTGGGGCGTCGAGGTCTTCTTGCAGGTCTCCCGCTTCCAGTTTCCTTCCTTTAAACTTAGCCTGTGGACATCATGTTATTCTCCCTAAGGTGCAGCTCGAAGCAGGTCACTTCTGCTTGACCTTTCCCCAACTCCCTGCTGTCCTGTGAATTACAGATGCCTTGCCCCGGTATCAGGCCCTCAGAAACCTGGGCCCAAATCCTCCATGTACTTCTGTTTCATGCTTTTTCTCCACATTGCACTCCTACTGCTCCTTGGAAATGCCTGATGGCTTATCCACTCCGTGCATTTATCTTATTCTCTGATTCCCTATAGTCTTTTAATGGAAATCTTAACAATGCTGTTCTTTGGTTTAAAATTCTCCAATGAATTTCCACTGCATTTGCTATAAAACATAAACTCCTAAACAGGCCTACAAAGCTTGATATGATATGCCCTTTATGATCTACTCCATCTTCCTCTAGCCCTGATTTATAGAACTCAGCCACACTGGGCTTCTTCTCTGTTCCCTGAAAGGGTCAGGCTCATTCCTCCCCTAGCCCTTCACATGGCAGCTTCCTTCTCACCTTCAGGGCTCAACTACAGTGCATCTCCTCAGAGTCCCTTCCTGGCTGCTACACTTTCTCCTGAGCTGAGGCTGTAGGATCCTTCTCAACACACTGCTGACTCCAGGCAACCTCGGTCTCCTGGCCAGATTTGTCAGAATTAATGATTCTGTTCATAAGGCCTGACCTAGTCTGTTGTCCCCCAGCCACTGTCAGATGAGAAAATGTGGGCCTAGAAAGGCAAAGATACTCACCCCAAAATCTGAGCATGAGTAAGAAATTGAGTCAATATTAGCACTCAATTATTTGTACTCTTAGGCTACTGTTTTTCATTTTTTAAGATTTGAACAAAATCTGTATTTTAGTTAATAATACTATATCACATGTTAATTTCCTGTCTTTTTAACAAACAATATTTCTTTATATTCTCCGAACTGGATTAGGAGTTTCAAGCCTCATTCAAGTTATTTTAATCACTAATAAATTTTCTAGACTTTTAGCTGTGATTCTAGATGGCAAAATACATGAAACTATATCAAAATTTTGAGTGAATATAAATTAGAAAGCTTTTGCATACATATATATAAATATAATGTATATATTTTAGAAAACTTTATAGAATTTTTGCCTAGCAAGAAAATTTATGACATTTTTGATTCTACTTGTTTGACTTAGTATGAATAGAATACTAGGCCACTGCTTTTCATTTGCACCAAACTCTTTCCTGCTTCTGACCCCTCAAGGTGGGTGGTCCCAAGGCATAGGAAGACAGCTGCCTGGGCCCAGGGCATGGGAGGGAAGGCCAGGAAGGCCAGCGAGTGGGGGCTCAGGCAGGGGCTCAGCAAGGGTGCTGCAGGTTGTCTATCACTGGCAGAGTGAGCTGTGCATCAGAAGCAGAGGAAAGTTGTTGCCATGGTGATGGACCAGCCAAAGAAGGGCTTAGGGAGCAGGCTGCTAGACAAGCTGGTTCATAAATCAGCACATTACCAAATGCTTAAAAAAAATAAAGGCTCTACCCTTTAGGCAGGGCAAAGAAGAAAATCATAATTGTCACTCCCTAGTAATCTATCTGGGTCTGAATCCAGAGAAACAACCGACATTTCCAACACGACATCTTTTGAACAAGGAGTAATTTCGTCCAGCTTCTCATTTGGGGGGCACCTAGAGAAGGAAGGTTATCTGCTCAAGGTCATGTAGCAAGCTAAGCTGAGGCAGAGAAAGCAGGAGAGGGAGAGGCTAAGGAAAAAGGGGTGCGGGGTGAGTCTTCTCACCCTTCTTCAGGGATGACTCTGCGGGGTCACAGGCCATCTGCTCAGTCATCTTTATAGTTACTTGTACCCACTCACCTCCAAGACTCTGCCGCTGATGTACCGGTCACAAGTCTCGCATTTAATGCCAAACTGGGAGTGGTAGTCAGACTCGCAGTACGGAACGCCATCCCTGAAGAGGAAATCCACACAGGAAGAGGAAATTAGGGGGGTCCACGGGGGTGTCACGTGGAACTTCCCAGACCCACAGATAACTGTGACTGGACCAAGATCAGAAGCACTCAGGTAGCTGTTCAAAGTGAAAACTGCCCAGACACCCCTCAGATCTACAAGATCACACAGTCCCTGGGGTGAGAGGGCTGGGGAATCTGCATCTGGACAAACTCCCCATGCATGCCTGGGAAGCACTGTTTCCTGCTGGCCATGAGGGTCCCTCACTCTTTTTCCTTGCTCTCTCCTCAGATTTTCTAGACCTACTCTCTTCCCCTTACTGTAAAGGACTCTTTTAAAAGGTCATTTAAAAAATAAAACTTCCTCTGTGGGAGAAGGTGAGGGTGGGATGTTTTGAGAGAATAGCATGTATATTATCTATAGTGAAACAGATCACCAGCCCAGGTTGGATGCATGAAACAAGTGCTCGGGCCTGGTGCACTGGGAAGACCCAGAGGAATCGGGTGGAGAGGGAGGTGGGAGGGGGGATCGGGATGGGGATTACATGTAACGCCATGCTGATTCATGTCAATGTATGACAAAAACCACTACAATATTGTAAAGATATTAGTCTCCAACTAATAAAAATAAATGAAAAAAAATAAAATATGAAAAAAAAAAAACCTTCCATTTAGAATAGGTAATATCTGCATTTGGCACACTGCAAAGGCACAAGGGAAAAGTCTGCCCCCTCCTCTCAGCCTCTCCCAGTTTCCCTTCCAGGAGGTCATCAATGTGATCAATTTTTTGCATATTCTTAAGGGTTCCTCTTCTAACAAAACACTGGTACAAAAAGAATCATATGACTGTGTTCCTGAATCAGTAGAAAACAGGAACCCTTGCCCTCCCCAATCACTTCCTAAGTGCTCCATTCTTGCCCAGTGCTTATAACTTACTGGGCACTGGGCAGTAATAAGATTATTGTTAGTTATTCTTACACTATCCCTACTACAGTAGCCATTGATATTTACTGCTTGGTATGTGTCGGGCTCTCTGATGGTATTTTACATAGGTTATTTCATTTAATACTTGCCGCTGTCCTATGAGGTTGGAATTAGTGTTCTCCCCATTGTGTGGATGAGAAAGTGAAAGTGAAGTCGTTCAGTCGTGTCCAACTCTTTGTGACCCCATGGACTATATATAGCCTACCAGGCTCCTCCATCCATGGGATTTTCCAGGCAAGAATACTGGAGTGGGTTGCCATTTGATCTAGTGCTAGTTCAAACCCACGAGGTCTGGTTTCTCAGCAGGCTGTCATGAGAAGTAAAGGATGTGGTTCCAGGGTGTCCCAGGGCTCAGCAAAGCACCTGTCCTAGGGGATCCCCATGATGGCTGACAGGAGTCCCCAAAGGACCTTTGGGCTCAGCTTTCAAGGGCCAACATGGAGATGACTGGGGGCATCAAAGCACTCAGACCAGCTCGGGCCGGGCCTATCTCTAGGGCCCAGATCTGATGACATCTCTCTGAAGTGCCGATGACATCTTCTGTATGGAACAGAACTCACTCACATGCAGAGAGGCCTTAGACCAGGCACATCCACGCTGCTGCCCTGCAGGGACTGCTAGGAGCCTACCCTGTGCAGCAAGGCCGTCAGTGTTTCCTGAAGGAGAGGCAACATTGAGGCCTGGTGCTCAGCAAAGTCACGAGGTGACACAGTTGTTTGTGGGTCCATGAGACAAACCTCCCTCACCCTCAACCCTTTTACACTCTGGGGGGTGGGAGGGTTACCTTGCAGGGGGATAAAGTCATTGGTCAGGAGGTGGGTGCAATGAACCAGCAAAATTTGGGTATAAATGCCAACACCTCCTAGTTTGGACCCAGGGAATCTGCATCTTGACAAGCTCCCCATGCATGCCTGGGAAGCACTGTCTGCTGCTGGGTGAGGTCTTTGGGAATTTGACATACATGATTCTAAAAAGAGGCAGAGGGTAAAAATTAATCTTTACTGGGTACTGATTAGGTACAGAGCACAGATCTCTGAACCCTCTGAGGGTCCTTCTTCTCAGCCCTGTTTCTATAAATGAAGGAACTGAGACTCGGAGAAGCTGAGTCTCTTGCTGAGGTCAAGTGGGCTGGGCTTCTAACCGGGGCATCAACACCAGAGCCGGCGCTGCTAAGCACCTTCCACTCTGCTGGCAGATGGATGAAGAGCCCAGAGCCCGGCTGCAGAGGCCTAAGGCGTGGTGGGTAATCTGGGTTGGACCTGCTCACAAGGAGCTCCGAGCAAACCCTTACTCCCCCAGAGAATCTGGACTTGAACTCACAGATTCAAGGACTCCTGGCTGGCATCTCACCAAGGGAACACCTTACTTGGCAGGCACAGAGGTGCATGCCAAACTCCCACTAACATGTGTTCAAAGCGCCTGGGCTGTGACCTCAACTCACCTCTGCAGCCTTGGACTTCACCTGTGCACACACCCGAGTTCTAGCAAACAGGATGGATGTGGCCAGCACCTCCCTGTCCTTGCCCAGGCTGAGCATTCTGGCTACAAGCTTTCCTTCTTTGCATTTTCAAATCTTATACACCTTTTCAAGGTCCAGCCCAAATATTACCATCTTCCATAAAGCTCTCACATATTCCAGATACCACTTCTGCTAGTTAGAAGCGAACAGTCACAGCCACAGCCTGTGGCTCAGACCTATGACACAGACAAAAGTCGTTTGGCTAGTACCTACCTCCCTTTTTGACAGCAGCAGTACCTTGCCTGCGTTCTGTGAACCACCCCTTCCCACTCACAGTTACAAAGGGCTGCTCTCTGACTCAAGGGTTTAGATCCTTCTGGCCAGTGACTGGTCAGGGATGGGCATGTGACCCAATGGAGGCCAAATCAGAGGCAGCTGTGGGACTTTTGCTGGAGTTCTTGGGAAAGAGGCCTTTCTCCCTCTTTGCCAGGTTTATGAAGCTGCTAGAAACAAAGCTTGGAGTTGCTGGTAATCATCTTTGCTACCAGTTGGGGAGGTCCTGCTTGAGAATGAATCAGACACAGAGGAAGGCGGAGCTGAGAGAGACAAGAAAGTCTGGGGAGAGTGTGCGGCTTCTGAAGGGCTAATGACAGCTTTAAGCCTCTGGATTCAGCCATGCCAGAAGCCAGGAATGCCACTGGCCTTCCCATTTGTATGAGTCAATAAACTCCCATTTTTGCATTCAAGGGAGTTTGAGTTGGGTTTTCTGTCACTTCTGATTGGAAAGGTCTTAAAGAAGAGAATTTCTCTTGAGCTCTGAATCACATGTACCCTGGAGTCATCATTTTTTATGCATACAGCCTGTCTCTCTTATTTCTTGATAGCAGAACCATGCATGCTACAACTTTAATGCTCACTATATCCTAGCATCGGGTCAGAGAGTGATACTAGAAAATGTCTGGATCATAGTGTAAAAAGTTCTGAGGGCTCGTGGCCCTAATTTTTTTTTAGGTACTTGAGTATGTAAATATGGTCATAAGGACCTGGCACAAGCGGCCTTGTCTAGTGTTCAGTGTCGGGGCTAGGCCGTCTCTCCTGACAGCTATGTCCATCATCTCTTATCTCATTTCATTCAACAACTGTATTATCAACGTTGGGTCAGGCATTGTGCTACAGGCCGCAGTCAATTAAACAAAGTCCTACCCTGGTGAGGACAGATGCTAAATAGAATCACTGCGGCAATAACTTCCTGAGACTCAGTTTCTACAGCTTTTCAAATAGGGGTTAACACCTCATGTGGGTAGTCATGGGGCTTGATGTGATAATTTGTACAGAGCAATTAGTACAGTCCTTGTCCATACTAAAAGCTCAATAAATGATAGCTAATATTATTATCCTTATTAAACAGGTAACATGGTTAAGCATACAATCGCAAATGGTGTTGGCCTACCCGAAGGAAACCAATAGGGCCGATGAGGGCCACTAGGAGGGCCTGTAAGAGGTGGTATGAAGCCAGTTCTGAGGGGAGGGTATGGGACCTGAGACCAGAGGAAGGGTAGGAGCAAGCATGCTCAGAACAGAGAAGCATCTCAGAACAGGGGAAGCACCGAGTGAGGGCCCAAGGTGAGTGGAGTGCTGCCTGTGGCTGGAGTGGGGCAGCCGGACAGAAACGGAGGGAGATGCTGCTGGTGACTCAGGCCAAGGGCCATGTGGGGCCAGGCCTGGGGGCATGCAGAGGTCAGGCAGGCGGGGCAGGGGAGAGACCTACTTGCTGATGTACTCCCCGGTGAGGATGACGCTGCAGGTCTGGCATTTGAAGCAGCTGACGTGCCACTGCTTGTCCAGCGCCAGGAGCGACTGGCCATGCTTGATCTCCTCCTTGCACCCGGCGCAGTCTGCAAAGACAAGAGGACCCGATGAGCAAAGCACCTTGGGCCCTGGGACCCTTGCTGTCGTCTCGCGCCCGAGTCTAGGCAACCCTTCCTGAATGCTGGCTTTTCTGTAACTGCTCCCACCCAGGCACCAGCACCACTCGAGACTACGCCAGGTAAGGGAAAGGCCAAAGGCACCTTGGGAGGTGTAAGGGAGAAAGAAAGGCCTCACGGGGTTCCTCCAGGAAGCTCCTTGCTGGTCATCCTGACCCTGGTTCACCCAGAGAGGACCCTGAACTGCTCCTAGCCTGTTCTCAAGTTGCTCACAAAGCTCATGCAACTCTCGGTGACCTGGGGAACTGCAGCATCAGTGTCACCTGGGAAACTGAAAATGTGTAGAAATGTGAGCCCCATCCAGATCAACTGAATTTTTATTTTTAACTATTTTATTTTTATTGAAGTACACTTGATTTACAACATTGTATTCATTTTAGGTAATAAAGTGATTCAGTTACACACACACACACACACACACACGTAATATATTCTTTGTCATGTTCTTTTCTATTATACGTTGTTACAGGGATTAAATATAGTTCCCTGTGCTATACAGTAGGTCCTGTTGCTAATCTATTTTATATGTCGTAGAGTGTATCTTTTAACCCCCAAATCCTAATTTATCTTCTTCTTTCTCCTTTGTTAACCATAACTTTTTCTATGTCTGTGAGTCTCTTTCTGTCTTGTAAATCATTTGTATTATTTTTTTAGGTTCCACATATAAGTGATATAATATGATATTTGTCTGTCTCTGACTTATTTCACTTACTGTGACAATCTCCAGGCCCATTCATGTTGCTGCAGATAGCATTATTTCATTCTTTTTTATGGCTGAGTAATATTCCATTGTATATATATACCACATCTTCTTTATCCATTATCTGTTGATGGACATTTTGGTTGCTTGCATGTCTTGGCTATTGTGAATAGTGCTGCAATGAACACTGGGGGGCATGTATCTTTTTAAATTAGAGTTTTATCCAGGTAAATGCCTAGGGGTGGAATTCCTGGATCATACGATAGCTCTATCTTTAGTTTTTTTTGAGGAACGTCTATATTGATCTTCATAGTGGCTGTATCAATGTACATTCCCACCAACAGTGAAGGAGAGTTCCCTTTTCTCCACAGCCTCTCCAGCACTTGTCATTTGCAGACTTTTCATGACAGCCATTCTGACCAATGTGAGGTGACAACCTCATTATAGTTTTGATTTGCATTTCTCTAAAATGCAGAAAGTTTGAGCAACTTTTCATGTGCCTGTTGGCCATCTGTATGTTTTCTTTGGAGAAATTTCTAATTAGTTCTTTTACCCTTTTTGACTGGGCTGTTTATTTTTTTCATATTGAGCTACATGAGCTGTTTTATATATTTTGGAAATTGAGTCCTTGTCACTGAATTTTATCAAGACCTCCAAGCCCAGCAAAGTTTGAGAATCCCTGCTCCAAGCTTAGTTTCTACTTTTTCTCACCTTTAGGTTCGTACGCTCAACGGTTTGTGATTTGTGTGCTTGCCTAGCACCTATTCTCTTGCCTAGCACCATGCTCAGCACACAGTAAGAACTCAGAGCAGATGTGCTGAATAAGCAGGCTTCCTAGCACTCAGGCAAAGGATAGAACTTACCACGCACACCTCCTCCCTTATGTGACTACAAACCAAACATCTGCCTCCCCAAGCAGTGAGGGTTAAAGACTCTGATGAGATTGTTCCAGGGCAGAAAGGCACCCGTGCTCTCCGTTTCCATCACCCTGAACCATGCGCTGAGGCCAACAGAATGTAGAGGGGCCCAGAGGCTGCCTGTTGCTCAACAATGTCTAGGGAGGGGCAGGAAATGGAGGCAGGGTCCGAGGTACTTGGGAGATGCTGGGAATTCAGGCTTGGCTGACCGGATGTCCCACTCTGGAGGAGGAAAGGGTCAAGGGGCAATGTTTACCAGAGCACAGGCCTCCTTCTTGGCACCAAAGGCAAATGCACACTTGGGAGCAGTAGAGGAGGAGAGAGACAGCACAGCAAGTTGGGAGGGATTGGCTGAAGCTCTCTCATCCAGCTGGAAGCCAGTCCTGGAGAAGAGATGAGGTGTCTGTGTCTCTAGGAAGGGGGTGTGTCCAGCAAGCTGTGGAAAGTCTGGGCCCTGATGAAGTGTGTGCACCAGTCAGCTCCCACAGTCCACGCCTCTTGGCTACACAGCACCTTTCTAATGTCTCTTAGCACAAGCTGGGGGCAAGAAGGTTTCCCATTGCAAAATGCTTCAAGTCCCAGGTCTTCAAATGGGGGCTGGCAGAACAGATTTAGGATTTCTTTCTTTTCCCTTTTTTTTTTTTTCTCCTGGAATAAGTCAACTTCCACTCCATCCCAATCAGCACAGTCTTCAGAACGTCATTGTTTAGAGGTCAGTACCCCCTCTTCTTTTATAGACAGACAGCCTCTGAAGTGACTTGTCTGTGCTCTGTATAGGAAAACCCGAGGGCTCAGGCAATCTGGTCCAGCTTTCTAGGCCACAGGTGCTGAATTTGTGTCTCTGTGGGCCTTCTTGATAGGGTTAAATGGTCCCACAGAGGCTCAGAGTTCACATCAAAGTCCCACCTAGCACAGTAACCCTCAGCATTCTCAACAGGTGGGCACATTCCTCTAAATCACTGTCTCCTGGGGTGAGCAGCTTACCCCCTCTTGCCTTTAGACAGGGAAGACTGTCATGATGGCCTTTTTTATACGAAGCTGAGGCCTGAATTCTTGTGACACCCCCTATTTTAAGCAACCAAGGATTATCTACCTCTTACCCTAAATGTGTTTCTTCAAGTCTTTTATGACAACCACAGTTTCTCTCTTCTCCTTTATCTCCTGCACTTCACTTTTCCTTGCTTGACATGGTCTGAGCAAATTCACTTGTGGATTCCATGGAGATAGACAAGTTACTGGCTAACACCACCATTGTCCATCTTTTCAATAAAACTTACTCAAAGAGTTGCCTCCTTTTGTGGCCACAAAAGATTTGAGTTCCATCTCTTTAAGTTGCAGTGACACATCTGAGATGAAATTGGCATCCTGAATTAAAATTTAGGAGATGCTACAGTATAGTGGTTAGAGGTTGAGCTGAGAGGTTAGAGTGAGTGGAAAGAGGCTGGCCAAGGGGAGAATCCCAGCTCCCCAGCTGACTAGTTGTACAACTGTTAAGGTCCGGCTTCCTCATCTGAACATCTTCCTTACACCACTGGTGTGAAGATGAGCTGAAGTCAAGCCTGGAAGGACTGTGCACAGTGCCTGGCATGTATGTACCCAATAAGTGGTTCTTATCATTATTATTCCACATTCTCATGGCTTTTAACTCGTACTCTGTGCATTATCCAATCTCTGATATGAGGTCAGAAGCAGCATGTCTGCTGTAGGGAAGTCCTGCTAATTCCTCCTGAGAATTCTGGCATATCTATCCCACATTTCTTTTTTTTCATATTATATTGCTCATCCTCCACTCAACTGGCTTCAGATGAAGGATCTTTACCAGGATCTTTTTCCCCCTCTTCTTCCAGTTTTCACTTATGACCAACATTGGAGCCTCAGGCACTGCATCCAGGAGTCCATGGACCTGGTGTAATAAGCAAGGTCAGGACACACCCTGTTCCAAGTGGATTCTGCCCAGCCAGCTGTCCACTCCATTCCTCATACATTCTTCTTTATTCCAAAATTACCACCTTCAGCTGGCAATAAGCATGATGCACCTGCTCCTCCTAAATCCCTCCATTTACTGGAATCTCTGAAGACCCCAGACAGTTATTTTTAGTTTTTTCTGACCATGTCATTCATTACAGTAAAAATAGGTGGGTATGTGAGTCACAGCAATCTCCCCATCTTGTTTTAGGCAACTAATCCAGAAAGACAGGACCCTTCCTATTAGCAAGTCATGTCTCTGGTATGGGGCATTAAAGGAATAGGCTCCAAAGCCAGACTTGCCTAGGCTCACACTCCGGTTCCATTACCATTATCTGAGTGACCTTGACACTCTTAAAGAGTATCTGTTCTCTTATCTAAAAACCATTGCTCTTGTCTCTCTCATAGAATTGTTGTAATGATTAAATAAGATGTTATGTATAGAAAAATTAGTGCAGTGCTGACAGTAGCAATGCCAGTGGTTTCGGTGATGATGGTGATGGTACTGCTACTGCTGATTCTTTGCAGTGAGGTCTGTGCAGTGCCTGGCACTAGGAACAGTCAATGTCAGCAAAGGTGATGGTAGTGTTGGTGATAGTGGTGGTGGCAGTAATGGTATTCAATATGATGCTGGTGATTGTGGAGATGGTAGTGATGATGGCAATGGTGTTGGTGGAGGTGGTGATTTTGCTTCTGCTCCTGATTCTTCTCAGTGAGGTCTGGGCCGTGCCTGGCACTAGGAATAGTCAGTCAATGTCAGCAGTGGTGATGGTATGTTGGTGATCATGATGGTAGTGATAATGGTGATTGTGTTGGTGGAGATGGTGGAGAAGGCAGATTTTGCTCTTGATTCTTCTCAGTGTGGTCTGTGAAGAAACAGTTCTCCTGCCTGTGATAAATAACATGATTCCCATCTCTTGAGAGTTCCCAAGTATTCTTCTTAATCTCTTCTGAGTAGATACTGCTCCTGCTTTTCCACAGTGTCTTGACATTTCAGGAATGAAACTTCACACTCCTCTGGCTCAAGAACACAGCAAGTTTTTCCTCCTTCATTTTCCTTTTCCAAGGTATTCTCTTCATCTTAGCACTCTTTTGAATCTTGTTTTAGTTCCCTCCATCCTTGGGGGACTCAGAAGCCCTTTCAACTTCCCCTCGAGTCAGAAGACTACTTTCTGTTTGCAGCATGGACCACCTTTGGGGAAAGAACATTCCTCTGGAACATAGGCCCCACAGATCCACACATTTATGTCTAGACTTTGTGAGTAGCAAGATGAGCCATGATCCTAGGCATTCCCCTGGAGACTGCCCACATGCTCACTGTTCTTCTGTACTGACTCTTCCTTCCCTTCTTCTACCTCCTGATCTGAAGAATTATGGTGGAGACATTTAGTGACCTTTCCTCGTGGACATGCTCCCATGCAGGCCTCCAGCACTCAGCTTAGGAAATCTTCTACCTGCCTGAGATCGCCAAGGCACACAGTAACACACAACACAAGCTGAGGGAAATTGCAGCAGATTCAGGAATTTATTCTCAGTTCTCCTGTGGCATGTTTTCTAGATTAGACCGCCAAGCCAACAAAACCCCTCACTTTATATTTAGAGAGCAGTTTACACACTATGATGTGTGTTAGTTTGATTGTCAAATACAGATACATTTGCTTTCCACCAAGTTGGGTAAACTGAGCCACAGGGAGGCTGCATGACAGGTGTGCATCACACAGAAGGAAGATAGCCTCCTGACTCCAGCTGGCTTCTCTCTATGGCCTCACACGTGGTCTCACTGGTGTCCGGGCACCTAAGCAGCATCGGCCATGGTCCTGTGGTCCTGCATCCCAGCATTCCAGACTTGCTGTCATTCTGGATGATGCTTTCAAGGAGTTATGAAGGATAACCTATGTGCACTCAGCCTCAGCCACCTCGAGATGGAAACCTGCTCAGAGCAGCAAATTTTTCTTGGTCCCCATCAAAGACACTGAAGGAAGGCCTGGGAACAGGTCTGAATCAACTGAAAGGAGGGAAGGATGATGGAGGGAGCCTGCCCCCTCCCCCCCAGGCTCCCTTGCTATTGGAGCCTCTGAGAGCCAAGTCCTGCTGACTTGGGGGAGGTGGTTCTGTGCTCGCCCTTCCCCTCAAGTGGACACAGCCTCAGCATGCTGACTCTGCTGGTGCTGTGGCTGACAGCCCCCACATGGCGCAGTGATGCAGCACAGGACGCTAATGGGCTTTCATTGATTCTGCCGACAAGGCCAGTGAGAGTGTCATGTAACACGAAAGAATGCTGGAGCCTAACCTGGCTTACGACACCCTGGGTGTGTGTGTGGGCACATGCAGTGAGGGGTCCGAGAAGGGCGTTTTGCAACAGTGATTTAGATACCTTACAGCTAGACAAGTTGGAATGGAATGGACATTCCACAAATCAGAATGACTGTTCTAAGGTACACCTCTGATCCCCAGCTCCCCTCCATGCCCCAATCTGTTTTAGTGATAGAACATGACCTTTGTGAGTAGTTCTCCGTTTTAAGAGCAGTGAATGAATCATTCAGGAAGCTTATTATGATCATATATTTCTAGGTCCCATTCCTACAAGTCCAAAGTGGGCCTAGCAATCTGTATTTTTGCCAGTTTTGCAGTGAAGCTAATGCTGCAGTCCACAGGACACACCCTAGAGACACTAAGTGCAGCCCTTGTGGCTTTCTCCTATGCTCCCTCTTTTGCTAAGATATGTCTGCATATAGTTTTTTAGTGGAATTTGTATGAATTGAGAGCCACTGGTGGAAAACACCTGATCAGCTCTGTTGGAGTGCTCCGGGCAGCATGGACCAAAGGGGAGATAAGGAGGCCCACTCATCCCAGGAGAAACACCCAAGCGGCCAAAACATGGCCCAGGCCATCCCTGTTTACTGTTGGGATGTAGCCTGTTTTCCCTACATTTGTATGTAGGGAAACTCATGAGTCTGGGCTGTCTGCCAACTGGGTCATACTTCAGGAGTCCTCCAGGGTGGGAACCGCCCCCACTTCCCTCCAGGTTGCGGAAGGGAAGTGGTTAGTGAAACTGGGACAGGGGAGCCCTGGGAGATGTGCTCGCAGACGGGGAGGCACCCGGCGGGGAGGACTCACGGCTTGGTCCGCGGATCTTGATGGGCTTACTGCTGGTCATGGACTGGGAGCACGTCTGACACAAGCATTCCTTCCCACTGAAGGTCACCTTGTCTCCAATGGGGAAAGGCTTCCTGTGAGGAGGAAGAAGAAGAAATTCAATACCTCCTCTCCAGAGAGCTCTGGGTCTATAGGTGACTTGATGACATGTACTTGAAGATCTCTGGTAGCACATACTGCACATATAGAGTACCAGCTACATTCACGGACTGTTCCCGGGGCAGAGCTAAACCACTCAATCAGGATCAGGGCCGGAAGGAGACCCAGTTGGGCCATTTACATGATTTTTAAACACTGGGGAAATCACAACACTTATTTGAGCTTACATTTCTCTTCTATACAAAGGTGGTGGTGGTGGCTTAGTTGCAAAGTCGTGTCCGACTCTTGTGACCCCATGGACTGTAGCCTGGCAGACTCCTCTGTCCATGGAATTTTCCAGGCAAGAATACTAGAGTGAGTTGCCATTTCCTTCTATACACTAAAGAGGCTAAAAACTCGTCCCAGGGGTGCTTCCTTCTGGAAGGATGTCTTCCCAACTTGACCTATCCCTGGATGTCAGGAAGGACTCAATTCAGTTTGCCAAAACATCCTCCTTTTACTCCCCAGGAACCTTAGATGTCCACAGAGAGCCTCTTCCTCTGCTCACCTGCCTTTGAACAGTTGGAGTTCCACAGCTCAGGGATCTCAAGCTTGTCATGTCCTGCCTCCCTAACTAAATATAAACTGCTCAGACCCCTCAGTACAGCCAATCCCATCATGCAGCAGCTCTTGCTCATGTAGTCTAGAATGCCTGTTAACATGGGTTCTGAGCACATGGCCCTAAGCCTGCAGTGGTTCTACTGCCCTTACATTAGTGACATGAACAATGGAGGGAGTGCTGGGGAGGGGTAGCTGAGCTCTCGTCACAGCCCAGGCACTCACTACCAGTAAAAAGACATGGATCATGACCTTGAGAAGACACCTCATCTCCATGGGGCTTCACAAAACCTCCACTTTATACTATATGGACCCTACTGTGCAAACTTTCAACGGTTCTGGCATTCTAGGATCTAAGGACCAGGTTTTAAGGGCTGGATAAAAGAACGAATGCCACTGGGTGATATTTTCTTAGGCACTGTGGCATTAGTCTCAATCAAAAACCCCAAGTGGTTAATTACTCTAACTGGTAACAAAGAGGTGGTTATTTTATGAGAAAAATAATTAATCTATAGATTACTTTCCCTATTAAAAAGTGCATACATATACTCCAATAGTGCTTTCTTATGACTTTGAGCAGTCCATTAAATGTTAAAATATTGGTGGACAGGGTTGAGGTTTTCTTTATTTTTTGTCTCCTTAATATGGTATTTGGTATACAGTGGGTCCTTAAGGTACATCTGCTAAGTTAACAAGTGATGGGGATGCTTGGGGTGGGGAGAAGGCAGATGGTGAGCTTTCCATCACCTATCAAAGGTCTTGAGAATTGAGAGAGTAGCATGGAAACATATACACTACCATATGTAAAATAGATAGCTAATGGGACTTTGCTGTAAGACTCAGGGAACTCAAACCAGGGCTTTGTAACAACCTAGATGGATGGGATGGGGTGGGAGTGGGAAGGAGGTTCAAGAGTGGGGGGACATAGGTATACCTATGACTGACTCATGTTGACGTATGGCAGAAACCAACACAATATTGTAGAGTGATTATACTTCAATTAAAATTAAATAAATTGTAAAGTCTCGAGAAGGTTGATGATGAACATTATGATAAAGAAAAGAATAATAAAATCAGACACAATTTGGTACCAGTCACTGAGCAAAGGTCTCTGTAGGTACCGTCTCATTTATCTTCCTGAAAACGTAATGAAGTTGGACTGGTTTTGATGACCATTTTACCAATGAACCTGAGGCTTACAGAGGTGGGGTCACCTTCCAGGGTCGTGGAGGAAGGCTATAAATAGACATCTCAGGACCACATGTGGCTGAGTATGTGAGAGCCTGAACCAGACCCATGGATTCCACACTGAGTCTTGAGAGGCCATGGCACTCAGTGGTTCCTTTGGGGCCTTTTGATGGGAAGTAGGAGATTTGAGTGTAGGGGCTCAGATCTTTACTCTGCCTTCATCTTGGAACAAACTAGTGTTTTGTATTAGACGATATCTAACAGACAGGATTCAGCTGCTAAATGTTCAAAACCATTTGCTTGTCAAGTCCTTCCACCCCTGAGATTCTAGGAATGAAAGTCTTCACCCCAAGATCTGCCTGGGAAAGGCCATTTATCCCCTTCCCCAGGCACCTAGGCAGAGGGTCCCAGCCCTGGCTGGCCACCCACTCACTTGCACAAGCTGCACACGAAGCACTTGGGATGGTAGGTGCGGCCCAGCGCGGAGATGACCTCGCCTGTGATGAAGTCCCGGCAGCTGTCGCAGCGGGTGCCGTAGAGTTGCTGGTAGTCCTGGGTGCAGATGTACTCCTGGTTCTTGAAGAAGAAGCCTGACTGGGCTAGGCCACAGCCACACACTTGAGGAAACAAGGAGGGAAATAAAGGCAGGTGAGTCCAAGGAAGGGTCTGCAAGCAGGAGGTTCTTGCTGGGGATGAGGCTGGAGGCTGACTCAGTTACAAGCGACCAGATAATGGTGACACATGGGAACTCATGGGCCTCTGGGACCAGTGCTTCTTAAAGGATTGTCTGAAGATCACTTGCATCAGAATCACCTGGCAGACTTCTGGAGACTCCCTGGGGTTGCAGAGCCTAGGCATCTGCATTTTTAGCACAACTCCCTGGCTGACCCTGATGCGCACTGACACCAGCCATGGTGTACAATCCTCTTAAGATATACGCCATGCGGCTCACAATGCAACACAGCTGGTGATACCATGATTTAATAAAAGAATCATCTGGTTAAAAATTTCCTATGTGCACGAGTCTGTGCTAGATGAAGACAACTTAAGATGTCAATGGGATATATGATTTGAAGATTATATCTGTCCTCATCATACTTTATAAAGTCTTTTGGGATATCCTGGTGGACAAGATGAAGTAATGTAGGACGGATAATAGAAGAGCATGTGGATATAATTATAGGTGTCTGAACAACTGAATCATGGGGGACCCCCTCCCCCAAAGGACTTAGAAATGTGGGAAATGAGATTTCCCCCTGAGAGTTATGAAATCAACACATAATGGGAAGAGCAGAAAGAGGCTCAGTTTCTTTCAAGATATCGAATGACTCTCAGGGCCACCAGAACTGCTGAGTATATTGATCCAGCTAAAGCAAGGATGGGTCAGCCAGGAAGGGACCAGTCAGCAACAAAGGAAAGCATCTGGAGAGCTCTTTCAAATCCCCCTTGTTCAGAGTTTGCATTCACCAAGTGACTGTCTGACAGTTTGACTTTCTACATAGGTTGCCTTTGGGAAGAAGCAGCTGGTCAGGGCAATGTGAACTGATATAACAGACAGTCACAGCTCTTGTTTACAGTAATAAACAGGCACTTAGCTTTAATACATTGGTTTCCCAAAAATGCTGTTAGCCTGACTCAGCTTTATCAAGTGTGATCCGTGGTGGGGAAACCAACAAGATGGTTTCCAAGCCTCTACGTGCAAGGACCTGGCCTGGACTGGGTGACATCATTCCAGTAAGTACCCTCTCATCTTTAATACACCAAGTTATTTTCCAAAAGCAGCTTGGTTAAAGGTAGGAGGGACTTCCAGTTGAATGTCAGAAGTATTTCACAAGTGTTTATTTACTCTGCAGGCCAGAGGTAAGATTAAAGGGCCAAGGTGAGGGAGTAGGGCAGTTTCAAAGTGAATCATGTGGGACTTCATATGTCACACCACCAGGGGAACCAGTCTAGGTCAGTGACAGACTCTACTCTGGGAGTCTGAGCACCTGGTCTCTGGTCTTGTCACTGCCACTAATTCTCTGGGTGACAATGACCTTGGCCCTCTGTAATCTGGGGCCTCTGTTCTCTGCTATGCAAAAAGCAGAAACTGGGCAAGAAATGACCTGAGATTTTCTTCTGATATTGACATCCTGTGAGTCTAGAAGGAGAGCTTTCTTCATGCCTGACTATGTGCCGAAACATTTAAAACTCTGTATGAGGTAGAGCTGGAGGCCCATAGAGACCAGATGGATGGAGGAGGTGGTGGTGGAGGGAGCAAGTGGGGAAGGGTCCATCTTTCATCAGGCTTCATTTTCCATCAGGCCTCATGAAAACTCATCACATCAAACAATGCCTGGTCTGGAAGGCAGGCAAGGCCAGAGAACAGGCTGTTCTGGAGTGTGCAGGTGGCCGATCGATTGACTCCGTGGCTGTGGAATTAGTTAGGTCATGGCCTACGACCTCACTGGAAAGAGCTCCTGTTTTTTCCCTTCTTTTCCCTCCTGTGTGTCTCCTGCCAACTCTACTCCCAGAGCCACCTCTCCCAGTGGAGAAAACCAGAAGGCCATACAAAAACTTGGAACAATCAGTTCCTTCATTTCCCCCAAGGAGCTGAAGGAGGAAGTTTTTGGTAGAAAGGATGTAAGAGTTGATAAGAATCCCAGGGTTCCTGGAAATACAGTGGGGACCACGAGGTGGAAGGTAGGCTGGACCAGCATGACAGATGTGTTTGAGCCTGAGCAGAGGTCTTCATTCAAATAACAGGAAGGGCCACGGGAAAGGTCTGCAGTACGGAAGTGACATGGGATTAATATATCCAGGGCAGTCATTATTTTGTGAATCAAAAAGTAAAGTCTTATAATTAAAAGAAAGATCATATGGTCTGACAATGGGACAGAATATGAGAACTCAGAACTGCTTCAAGAAAATAAAGAATGAAAGCTCACTATAAATATAATGCCTAGAAGAGGCTTTACACCAAGCCTTACTGTGTTTCAGTGGAAAATGTACTATTTTGAGGGTCACTGGACCTTCCTCCATATTTCTATTCTAGCACTCAGGTGCTGTGTGACTTCACCTCTCTGGAGTTCAGCTGCCTCATTTGTAAAATGAGGGAGCCATGTGGTAACTGAGGACACATCCGGGTCTGAGTCTAGGATTCTGTCATATAATTCTGTTGATTTCCAACTTTTCAAATGAGACAGTTTTATGGACTTTCAACGTGTTAGAAGGTCCCGTGAGGGGGATTTCATTCATTATTTTAAACATTTAAATTGTGAAATATACATACAGAAAATGTAATAAATATACTACACTGTGTACTGTACTTTGTAAAGAAACATAAAATACGCCCCCAGGTATCCATTATGAAACAACGTTACCAGCACCTTGGAATCCCGTTCATCTCCCTAAGAACGCCTCCTTTCCACACTCCTTTCCCGAATCATGAGTTTATCAATCTCTTTGCTTTTCTTTACAGTTTTACTACCTTTGAGGTATCCACAAACAATATATTGTTTAGTTTTGCCTGTTTTTGAATTTTATACAGATGGAATCATACTGCATTAACTCTTCTGTGTAATTTACTGCTTCATTCTCTCAGTGTTATGTTTTTGAAATTCATTCATGTCAATGCACCTAATTATGGTTCCTTTGTTTTGCTGTGCTGTATTCAACTGTGTGACTACATCACAACTGATCTATTCCACCTGTCCTAGATACAACTCCTTCACAAATTTCAATACATGATTTACAGATTCTATCTTTCATTCTGTGTGTCTACTTTTTACATTCCTGATGATCTATTTTGAAGCAAGGGTTTTAAATCTTGATGATGTTTAATTTATTCATTTTTCCCCCAGTTGCTTATGCTTTCTTTGTTATCATGTCCAAGAAGGCTTTGCCTAACTTAACATCACAAATATTTGCTCCTATATTTTTTTTTAACAATTTTGTAGTTTTAGCTCTTACCTTTAGATTTTTGACTCACTTTAATTTTTGTGTATGGTGTGAAGAAGACTGCAATTTCATTTTTTTTGTGTACATAGGTTCAGTTTTCCTAGCATCATTTGTTGAAGACTATTCTTTCCCTATTGAATTATTTTGGTTGTCTTGATAATATTCAACTGACCATAAATATAAGACTGTATTTTTAAAATTTAATTAATTAATTAATTTTTGGCTGTGCTAGGTCTTCACCGCTGCTTTCTCTACTTGCAATGAGCAGGGTCCACTCTCTAGGTGCAGTGTGCAGGTCTCCCAGTGCAGGGGCTTCTCTTGCGGAGCACAGGCTCCAAGGCATGAGGGCTTCAGTAGTTGTAGCACATGGGCTCTAGAGCATAGGCTATTATAGAGCACTACTGAACAACGGGGCTCTAGAGTTTGGGCCCAGTGGGATGTGGCATGTGGGATCTTCCCAGATCAGGGATCAAACCCATTTCTCCTGCACTGGCAGACGGATTCTTTACCACTGAGCGACCAAGGAAGCCCAAGGCTTTATTTTTGCCTCTCATTTCTACTCTATTGATCTCTATGTCTATCGTTGTACCACACTGTTGTGTTTATTGTAGCTTTGCAGTAAGCTTTTAAAGTGAAAATTTCGAGTCTTCCAACTTTGTTCTTCTTTTCTAAGATTATTTTGGTTATTCTATGTATCTAATTTTACATAGATTTTAGAATCAGTTTGACAATTTCTGCAAAGAAGCCAATGGGGATTTTCATAGGGATTACATGTGCTATGAACTGAATAGTGTCCTCCCCCAGATTCGTATGTTGAAGCCCCAAGTCATAACGTGATGGTATTGAGATAGGTGGACTTTAGGAGAAAATCAGGTTTAGATGAGGCCATAGGATGGGATGTTCATTATGGGATTAGTGCCCTCATTAGAAGAGACACCAGCAAACTTGCTCATTCTCTTTCTGGTTCTCATCTTTCCTCCTTCCCTCCCTCCCACCTCTTTCCCTCCCTCTCAGAAAATGTGAGGACACAGTGAGAAGGTACCTGTCGGCAAGACAGGAAGGGAACTTTCCATAACCTGACTATGCTGACACCATGATCTTGGACTTGCAACCTCCAGAACTGTGAGAAAATACATTACTGATGTTTATGCCACCCAATCTTTATTTTGTTATGGCAGCCTGAACTGACTAAGATAGCACCAAGTTTGTCGACTGACCTGAGAATATCGCCATCAAAAAAAGATTTCTGATCCATGAACATGGTATATTTTTTCACTAATTCTTTAATATTTTTTTCTTTCTTTAATATTTTATAGCTTTCAAAGTATAAATTTTATGCCTTCATTAAATTTATTCTTACGCATTTTATTTGATGCTATTGTAAAGGAAATTGTTTTCTCAATTTTATTTTCAGATTGTTCATTCTAAGTATATAGAAATACAACTAATTCTGGTAAACTGATCTTGTACCTTGAAATCTGATCAACTTGTTACTTTTAATAGTTTTTTAGTGCATTCCTTGGGATTCATTATACACAAGATCATGCCATGGGCAAATAGAGATATTCTTACTTCTTTTTCCATCTGGGTGTCTTTTATTTCATTTTCTTGCCTAACTGACCTACCATGAACTTGCAGTACAACACTAAACAGAAGTGGTAAGAGCAGACTTTTTTGC